TCTGCCTTCGGCTCAGGTCATGATCTCAGGGTCCTGGGATCGAGTCCCACATCGGGCTCCCTGCTCCTTGGGAGCCTGCTTCTCCCTCTGCCTCTGTGTGTCTCTAATGAATAAATAAAAATCTTAAAAAAAAAAGAGTGGTGCCCTCACTTGGGTATTCCATTTCAGCATACTGAACCTTATTTAGCATAGATTCTACATTAATAAAAACAGATCTTGAAACAGTAGGATCTTGGTAAAGAGACAGAATATGGCAAAAACTTTGATTTCCTGGTTTTCTTATGGCCAAATATTTAAGAGTTGAATTTAAAGATCATAAGCAGTTTTCTTCTACACAAAGAGTTCCAAATATACTATTTATGTGATGACCCATGGCTATCAACAGCATACACTACCTAGCAGTTATATTCCAAAAACAAAAAAAAAACCATCTTTTCAAAGTAAAGACACCATTTTAGGGGCACCTAGGTGGCTCAGTTGGTTAGGGGTCTGCTCTTGATTTCGGCTCAGGTCATGATCTCTGGGTGGTGAGATTGAGCCCTCAGCATGGAGTCGGCCTGAGATTGCCTCTCTGCCTCTGCCCTGCCCCCAACAAAAAAAGTAAAGATATCATTTTAATTAGTGAGAAAATAACTGCTTTTCAGGGTGCCTGGCTGGCTAGGTTGGTAGAGCATGTGATTCTTGATTTGGGGATTGAGTTCGAGCTCCATCCTGGGTGTAGAGATTACTTAAAAATAAAATCTTAAAAAAAAGAAAAAACTGGGGTGCCTGGGTGGCTCAGTCGGTTGAGCTGTCTGCCTTCGGCTCAGATCATGATTGCGGGGTCCTGGGATCAAGCCCCTCATCGGGCTCCCTGCTCAGCGGGGAGCCTCCTTCTCCCTCTCCCACTCCCCCTGCTTGTGCTCTCTCACTGTCGAATAAATAAAATCTTAAAGAAGAATAAAAAGGAAAAAATGCTTTTCAAAGGATACTTGTATTACAAAAAAGACATTCTGGAAAATTATATCTGGAAATGTTTCCATTCGTACATGATTTTGTTACTGAAACAATTAAAAATATTGTCTATTTTTTAAAGTCATCTACATAGATTATAAAAGATTTGAAAACACGAAAAGATTATCCCAGTGAATCAAAGTCTTAAAGAATTCTTTAAAATAGGTTTTAAAGTTAAATTTTTATATATATAAAAATGCAACAACTTCCAATTAATTAGCAAGAAAAACTGAGACCAAGAAAGAAGGGAATGTCACAACCAATTTCAACACAATCCTGTGCACAATTGATGGTTGAGAACTGAAACATTTACTAATGTCACCAATGATGTGACTCTTCCACTTGGACCTATGAATCTTTGCCAGGTATCTTCTTTGCTTCACTCATGAAAGTCATTAAAATCAAGAGTCAAAAGCAACTGAATTTGGAATCAGAATTCTGAAGAGTTGGGACACCTGGGTGGCTCAGTCAGTTGAGAATTTGCCTTGGGCTCAAGTCATGATCCCAGGGTCCTGGGATCAATTCCTGCATTGGGCTCCCTACTCAGTGGGGAGCCTGACTTCCCTCTGCCTGACGCTCCCCCTGTGCGTGCAGGGGTGCACTCACACTCACACGCTCTCTCCCTAATAACATAAAATCTTAAAAAAAAAATCTTGAAGAGTTATAGCTAAGTGTCACATCAAAATTTATCCTAGTTCATACACAGCACACTAGAATAGATAATTCAGCAACAGCAAATGTTTACTGAATGCTTTGACATTTTATTTTTTTTTAAGATTTTAAGTGAGATAGTATTCACATGTGTTTGTTTTTTGGGTTTTTTTTTTAAGATTTTATTTATTTATTTGACAGAGAGAGACACAGCGAGAAAGGGAACACAAGCAGGGGGAGTGGGAGAGGGAGAAGCAGGCTTCCCACTGAGCAGGGAGCCCGATGCGGGGCTCGATCCCAGGACCCCGGCATCATGACCTGAGCCGAAGGCAGACGCTTACACCCAAGTGCCCCTTTATTTGACATTTTAATTGGGCATATCCTTCACCTTCAAGAAACAGAACAAACCAGGGCACCTGGGTGGCTCAGTTGGCTAAGCGACTGCCTTCGGCTCAGGTCATGATCCCAGGGTCCTGGGATCGAGTCCCACATTGGGCTCCCAGCTCAGCGGGGAGCCTGCTTCTCCCTCTGACCCTCTCCCCTCTCGTGCTGTTTCTCTCTCGCTCACTCTCTAATAAATAAAGAAAGAAAGAAAGAAAATCTTTAAAAAAAACACAGAACCATAATCTTCAGATTAAGTCTAGCCATAAATTGTTATGTTAACAATCCTGAAGTCAAATTGTAAATTATTACCACCTGGGACCCCTGGGTGGCTCAGTCATTTAAGCATCCAACTCTTGATTTCAGCTCAGGTCATGATCTCAATCAAGGTTGAAATCCATGTAGGGCTCTGTGTTGAGCTTGGAGTCCGCTTAAGATTCCTCCCTCTCGGGACGCCTGGGTGGCTCAGTTGGTTAAGTGGCTGCCTTTGGCTCAGGTCATGATTCCCAGGGTCCTGGGATCGAGTCCCACATCAGGCTCCTTGCTCAGCAGGGAATCTTCTTCTCCCTCTGCCTGCCACTCCCCCTGCTTGTACTCTTTCCCTCTCTCTCTCTCTCCAATCAATAAAATCTCAACAACAACAACAAATTCCTCCCTGTCTCTCCCTCCCCCTCTCTCCCCCTTTACAACACCCCCCTCCGCCCCCCCACGTGTGTTCTCTCTAAAAAAGAAACAAAACAAAACATACAAAAAAACAAGTATCACCGCCTCTGATTTCCCATGAAAATTAAAACTACACAAATAAAAGTGCCTAGCACAGTGCCTAAAATAAATAGATGCTCAATAAACATTAACTGCCTTTTCCCTGGCTTGAAGCCATGTGATTAATGAAGAAATAAGGGGCTTAAGAATTAGACAGGTTTGGGCGCCTGGGTGGCTCAGCTGGTTAAGCGACTGCCTTCGTCTCAGGTCATGATCCTGGAGTCCTGCGATCGAGTCCCGCATCCGGCTCCCTGCTCAGCAGGGGCGTCTGCTTCTCCCTCTGACCCTCTTCCTTCACGTGCTCTCTGTCTCTCTGTCTCTCATTCTCTCTCTCTCAAATAAATAAATAACATCTTAAAAAAAAAAGAATTAGGTTTGAATTCTCACAGTACCACTTGCTGTCTGACTTGGGGCACATTTTTTAATTCCAACTTTAAAATAGAAATAATAACACCCACCTTATGGGGTTAATGTGACAAGTCATTAAAAAATAATGCATAAAGTTGGGGCGCCTGGGTGGCTCAGTCAATTAAGTGTCTGCCTACTACGTCTACTGTCACTGAGCTAACTGGCAGCCTGGCTAGCATGACCTAGCCTTGTGTGGGACTAGGGCTCTTTCCACTATTATTTGTACTTTCCCTAGTTAAGTCATCTACTTACTGAAAAAAGATATATGTTTATTCGTACTAGTACAAATTCACCAAAGGGTCATAATAAGGTGTTAGCATAATCGAAATTTTTCAGGTTTCTGTGGCTATAGAAGTCATTCCTCTGTTAACACCTTTATATAAAAGTAAAAAATATTTAAGCTTTTTCAACAGTTTAAATGGGGGAGGGGGGAGGCTTCCTTTTGTTTTGCTCAACTATCACCGGCAAGTCACCCATATTTATAATTTCCTAAGTGTAACCTGTGTAGGAGTGCTTTTAGAATAGTAAAACTCTAAGATAGCACAACCAATTCAAACTGCCAGCAGCAAACTCTAGCCAACAAATAAAGGGTTGGGGGAAGGAGAAAAGCCGCTCCATTCTTGCTCAACTCAAGGCTAAATACAGTTTAAGTGAAATACAACGCATTGAACATGCAAATGCAGATACAACCATACATGGTGAGTTAAACTATACGTGAAGCACCTGTAAAACACACAGTTTGAGTCAACTCACAGCCTCTGGCTGACAAGTAGAAAACAGGTTTTTAAATGTCTGAAAATCGCAGCTTCAGCGCTTTTGCAACACCTGCTTTTACGATCGGTCACGTGAAGCGAATAAGCAAAACTAACTAGCACTACTAGGGCCACACAACCACTCACAGGCCGGCCTCGTAAACGTATCATCAAGCAAAAAAACAGGCAAACCGGCCGGCCGGAGGCCTTCACCTAACTTCCTTCCAGATGGCAGACGCTGTACGGAGACCATGGTGTTCAAGTAGCCAACCCAAAATAAATAAAGGAATAACTAGGAATTCAGACATCCCCAAAGGTCCTCCTCATCCTTAATCTTTCCAGAGTGTCATCCCATGAAATAGGATTTGTTTGCCACAGAACCCCGCGACCCCTGCTACCCAAGTGTCAGCCCTGCTCACCACCTTCCAGGGACCCCTCGCGGCCAACTTTCCAAAATCCCCAAACCACTGACGCAACTGCTTCCCTCCCTGTAGACTCCATCACCTCTGTTAAGTTTCTGAAACACGTGATTTCGGGACGCAACTTGCTAGAAACAGACTAAACACTTGAACACATTTCCGTGAGCCCTGCAAACCTTGGATCCAAACAATTCCCAGGGAGGGGATGAACGTCACCAAGCTCAGGTGACACTCGTTCAAATCGCCCTAAGAATGGGAGCCAGACCCACCCGGCTGGCCGCCGGCGGCTCTTACCCATTTGTCCAAGGGGACTTGGGCGAGGGACCCGGTGCCCTGGTACAGATCCAGGCTGAGCTGCTCCAGGCTCAGCTTCTCCTGCAGGAAGTGGCCCAGGTACCTTTGCAGGAGGTACCGACAGGCCCTCTTCTTGATGGACTCCGAAAACGGCCAAGGCATGATGAGGGCTGGCAACGGGGCCCGCGGGGGCTGCAGGCGGCGACTCCGGCCCTGGGGCCCAGGTTCCGGCTCC